AACCTCCATGCCGCACTCGTTGCACGTCTTGACCGTCATGCCTTCCTCGTTGAGCACGGCCCGGCCCCAATCATGGACATGCTTCCCGCCGCCGCCCACGGCATCGCCAAACTTGCTGGCCCCCGTCCGCGACAGATTACCCGCCTGGCGGCGAAACGCATCCGTGCGCGTCTTGCGCTTCAGGTCCATGAGCTTCTCGCGGAACTTGGACTCCTTCCGCGCCTTCTTCTGGGTCTCGCGACGCTCGTACTCGGCGTCCAGGGCCTCGGAGGACCCCCACTTGGTCTTGAGGGCGTACTCCTCCACCTGGAAGCGAAGGAAGAGCATCATGTCGTGCCAATGGGACTTGTGAGGGTTCGGTTTGTTCAGATGCGGAAGCAGCTCCGGGTCGCGCAGTTCCGCTATTGCCCATGTTAGCTCACGTCCACATCCAGTCCATAACCAGGATACACTCACGGTCAGTAAGAAGATAGTCCTCCTTGCACTCGGTCTTGGTCAGGAGCGAGTACTTCTCGGGGTACTTGTCCTTGCACTGGTTGCACACGGCGACGTGAAAGACCTCCTCCCAGACAAAGTCGATCTCGATGTTGCGGCACTCGCGACACCGCTTCCGCTTGGACTCGTCGTCGTGCGCGCTGAGGGCCGGCTCAAAGGGCCCAGCCTTGTTCCTCCTGAGCCGGTTGATGAGCTGCATGCGCTCCCACTCCTGGACCGTCATGTGCTTGGGCCGCTGGTCCGCCTCGGCCTGCCCGGCCTTCGCGGCCGCGGCGCTGCCCAGGGCGTAGTTGTGCGGGTCGTCCTCTATCGACAGGAAGCCGCCCTTGGTGTCGGTCATGGAGCTCATGTTGTAGTCGACGAACTTGGTGAACTTGCGGGCAGGCCGCAGCGCACCCCCCTCGTCGGTGTTGCGCCCATCCCGGTTGGTCCCCGAGTCCTTGGAGACGGCGTCTATCGGACGTTTGCCGCCGACGGGTTTGGTGATGTGCACGCTGTCGGTCGCTACGAAGCCCGAGGCCGTCTTGGGGATCGACGGGGTACCGCCATCAGCTGCACGCCTCTCTGCATCTCGCTGGTCCCTAATCGCCTTGGCCCGTAGTCTGTTCTCCTCCTGCATGCAAGGTCAGCAACGAAGATCGGTGAGGCGACAAACAAAGGAACTCTTGGAGAGGGTAAAAATAAACCGCAGGGTGCCTCGGTATCGGCAGGGTGGACTTACGATGCGTCTGGCGAGCTCGGGTGTTGGTGGCGAGGCCACCTGTGATGCCGATTTAGAAGCACTCGGTGGCGGCGTGGAGTGCTTTTCCGTCATGGCCAGGGCGACTCCAGGTCAGACAGGAATAGACGAAACACAGGGCAGATCGGAACGAACCCCGTCCCCTCGCTGACCAGCGCCCGTCACCGTCGTCGTCGTCTCGTTGTCGGCGCAGTGTCCGACCGTTGCTTGGAGCTGTGGATGGAGGGTCGCAGATTGGATTCACGGCACTCGACGTCTTCACGGTCGTTGGTGGCGGCAGTTTCCGGAGGGCGCAGAGGGATTGGATCACCGTGAACGCGGCGCTAATCCCACTATCCACCCGTATGCGCGCATATCTTAGTGCCTCAGGTGCTAATTACAGGCACCACACCTCAGCTGCCCTTCCCAACTAATGCCCCTAGGTGACATGCTCGTGATGATACTTCTTGCCCACGACATCGGTAGTATTCCATCTTTATTCTCTAGAGCTTCAGCCTTGGCCTCGCAATTGCACACGCCCCCCCTAGTCTAGCTCTTGATCCTCGTCTTCCCCTCCACAGCAATCAATCCACCCACCCTATCTGCCTCACTGATGTCACTGGAGCACTACCGAATTACCTTGTTGGGGGCATATGAGCCGAGCTAGTCGCCCTCCTAAGACAGACTGCACGACAGCGGATCCCAGGCTACCTTAGAAACACGTCCAAACGTTGTCAGGACCATTTTAGCCCGAGCTTAGAATTAAAGCAGAAGAACCAGGCGAGTGCGAGGCTCGATCTGGTTATTTTTGCGCCTGTGAATCGTCCACCCCCCCAATATCGATCCATGATACTGCAGGGTGCCGCCTGCTCACTCCCTCCCGCTATCCCGCTTAGAGTTACATCCGCGCTGGCCCATGATTGGCCGGGGTGACGGTCAGTAAGGTATTGTCTCCGCTTCATTTGCAAAACGGAAATCCCGTTCTCCGGCCGTCACTCGGTACCTGCACCGATGATAGATTGATGATACATGCACATCGGCTGTGGACTCGGTGGGTGCTCGGCATTCACCGTCATTAATCAAACCATCTTAAGGTTTGGACGGTCAGGGCCACGTGGAGAGAAGTCTGTATCAGCTTCAGGCTGTTGCTAGATGTTCCGAGTGGATGGAAGGATGGAGGTTATCAAAGGATCATCAATTGGCAAATGACAGACAATACCCAGTTACCTCAGACCGCTACTGTGTTATAACTTGTTGATTAATTAATTATTACCCCAATACGGGCGTAATCTACCCAATTGGTGTCCCTGAGTCGTGACTAGCAACTCACGATGCATCCAGTACAAACTGAGTCGTGGATATACATCACAACATCCTTCCAGTATTAGGCTTTCACAAATATTATATCGCGTGCCAAGAATAGTCAATCACAGAACTTAGGACTTTCTCAACTCTATATTCCCAGGCTTACATACAAAGTACATGACATCACCGAAAACACAGCCTCAAGTAACGGTGGTGTATTAAGTATCAGACGTGGTTTCCTCAGAATCCCCATCCATTACACATCTAAGCTCAACAGCCGAGCGAACCCATGATAAGATACAGTGCCCGCGCAGACCCAGCGCCCGATCTACTCCTCCTTGGCGCCACCACGGCCGGAGCGCTCAGCGGCCTCGACGGCCTTCTTGTCGCTCTGGGCGGCGCCGCCCTGCATGGCGCTCATGAAGCCGGCGGGCTGCTTGAAGGGCCGCTTCAGGTCGCCGGCGGCGGGGGTGCCAAAGACGTGGATCTTGACCAGGTTGCTCTCGAAAGCGCTCTTGAGGGGGATGATGCTCTGGATCAGGAGGGGGTTGGTGTACTTGAGGTAGATGTGCATAAAGGCCATCATGCCGACGCCCATGAGCTGGCCGCGGAACAGGCTCTTGAGCTGCTGGGAGTCGTAGGCCTTGATCGTGGTGGTCACGAGCTTGCCCTCCTCGCTGGAGCCGACAGGGGCGGGCTCGACGTACTTGAGGGTCGTCATGTCTACACGTGAAGGGGGTCCGGGGTCAGCACTGAAAGAGATACGAGGCGCTAAATTAAACGATCAGGAGGGCAGGTGGGTACCATTCTTCTTGCTGATCTGAGCCTGGACGTAGAGGTAGAGCAGGGCGATGATGACATTGCTGGCGAGGTAGACGCCGCGGACAATGTTGAGGGTGTTGGGGTCATCAAAGGGGATGCGCTTCGACACCTGCATCATGCCGAGCATGATGATCAGGTTGGTACTGTCAGGAAGGTCAGTCTCATTCTTGGTTGGCAAGCCACAGGCATGTGTCTCGTGGCCAACTTTTGCGCCGTGCACCTACGCGCACACACGCGAGGACCTTGGCAGGAGGACAATAGAAACGTACATCTGAGGGCTGAGGGAGGCCATTGTGAAGAGTCCCGTTGACAAAGAAAGGTAGGCGGAGTGGTTCCAGGGAGGTGAAGCAAAGAGATGAAAGACTGGCAGCACGCGACAGCGAGGACGACTGGTGGGGGAGTTTTGGGGGAAGATTTGGAAGTTTCTATAAATTTCCTTGTCGCTACGCTGGCCTTTCCAAACCCAAAATTGGGGGCAAGCTTACCCACAACAACCCCGAGTCTCCGATTCGGCAGATTGCGCCACTTCGTTGTAACCTTTTTCCGGCCCGCTGACCAAGGCGGAAGAAGAAAGGAACCCGAAAGAAGACCCCCACAGCCAGAGAACCCCGAAATTCCATTTCCATCGATTCAGCCACAGCGAGACCTCCAATTATGCACCACCTCTAAATAGACCTACCCTGTTCTCCAGACAGATCATGTCGCATCCCGCCTGTGATGATAGATGCAAGAAGCGTCCTAGTCTCACTGCTGATCTGTTTGAAATGTAACAGGCCTGTTATTAGGTGCATCAATTGTAGCAGGCATAATCTCGTTTGTTGATACTCTATAGATCTGGCGTGTGTTCCATGTTTTGTTTTCTGGGGTTGTTCGCTTAACGGTTTCATTCACCGTTGGGGTGGGTCCACTTTTGAGCTCCGACGTCGACAACATAGACGACCCTTTGTAGTGACATGAAATACAAAATGGAATTCAATGACCAATCTCCAGGAATGGAAACCGATCGGACTCACAAAGCTGAAAACAATGCCAAATTTCTTTTTATCGCCGGCCCGATGCACGCTAGAGGACACAATGCATACATGGCGATCCTTTCTTCCCTTATTCATTGTCTGGACTGCTAGTGGTTGGCGTTTCAGGGTGGCCGATATATCATATAAATGAAACTATACAAGACTCGAGGTTGACTCAAGCCAGACGCCCCTCACCCCTAAATACCAAGACTAGCTTCGATATTCGGTAGTTGGCAATATAGACCAAAAGTCCCCGGCCCTCCCAACCGTTAGCCCATAAAACACCCCTCCAAGGAGAGATGAACTTCCTTCGAAGGAGCAGGGAGATTGGCCGCCAAGGGAAGCACGGCAAGGATGGGTACGCCTCCAGATATGCCGACAGGCCTACAAACCGCCGGAGGTATTCTTATTCTTCCACCGAGGAGGACTGCCCTCCGGGAGCTCCTCACAGTTCCACTTTCGGAACGATCATCTCCCCAAGTGATAAAAGGGGATACGCGGCCGCCAGTTCAAAGAACTGCCCATGCACGTGCTGCCCCCATTCGTCACGCCCGTCGGCGTCGGCGATAGCGAGCACCAGACGACAAAGGTGTGGCAGTGGGCGGCCTCGCCATGGCGAGGATCCAAAGGATGATCGGCCGCCGGAGTCATCTAGCTACGGCCCAGGCCCGACCTATCGAGGCCTTGCAGGCGGCCGCTGTGAACCCGCTAACACGCACGAGGTTCCATCTGGACGGCACAGACTAATTAATGACATACGTGGTGGTGGTCCCGCGGCCAGCGGTGGTGGGAAAAGGAGGAGCAGGGCCGAGCAGGGGAGCTGGACCCTCAACGTCGTCGACAGAACTGACAGGTCCCGATGCAAGCATCAAGATGAATACAGGGGACGGCTGATCCCTCTTTCCCTTTCCAGGGACGCCAACGCCGCTGAAATCATGGATCGGCTGGCACATGACGGCAGACGAAACAAGGTTGTGGTGCACTGGAAGGACGGGGCACGAGAGAACTTTGACGAGTACGTTCCCGTGCGGGATGCCCGTGAATACGCCTCTCACCTCGAGGTCAAGAGGCGCAAGAGCGTTCACTGGATATAGGAGTCCACATGACAGGAGAGCAATAAAGGGGAAGGGGGTGTGTGCTGTTGATCCTTCTTCCCTCCTTCCCGCAACTCGCAAAGCTCCGTAACCCACGTCCTTGAACAGACAAGGCCAGCCGGGGATGGGTTGATGATGGGGAGATTGAGGAGAGAGATTCCATGTTGGCTGCCCTCGGCGTCGACTTGTTTAGGTATAGGGCTGAAGACAAGTGTGCACCGATGGGCATAACCTTCCTCGACGAACGGGATTGGCATGACAACTTCCTTGTTCTCTGAATCCCGTTCGTTTAATATTATCGCATTTTGTTTGTTGTCGTTCTTTCTTTCTTTTTTTAACCTGGTGTGAGGTGTAAGTCGGGTTGAGCGAAGGCGAAGTGGGGGGGGAGGGACCTTTGGCGCCAACTGAGTGGCTCTCTGAGTTGGCCCTCTTAGACGCTCGCAACTCACAATAAGCTGCACTGTACAACTTCAAACTAAGACCCTTAGGTTGCTGCAGCTTAAGGTTTTTTGCCTCTGTACGAATGAGTGAATATAGCTCATGTCTAAAATAATACACAAGTCTAAAAAAAATACCCAATTGATTAATATAGAATTCGCCTCCGCGTTTTTGTGTATGCAGTATATATTGAAGATTCGCCTTGGGACGGGCCAGATTTAGAGTGGCGGAAAAGCTGGGACCGGGGTTGAGGTTCAGCCCAGCGAATTGGTCCGACCGGCCGTCTGTGCGAGCTTAAACCGATGTCTTCGAGTTGAGGAGCAAGTGCACGATATCATGTGAAGGCTCGGGCTAAACGTAGGTAAATCAAATATGAACGGGGGTTTCGGAGCGGTGAAGTGCCAATATCTGGGGTTTTGCAGGAACAGCGCCAAGCGGCATCGTTGGACGAGCATCGCACCTTTGCTACCTACAGAGGTTAAGAGCCGAGCGAGTTTGGATCTTTGGTTGAGGGCCAAGCCAGATGGGGAAGGCTGGCTAGCCGGGTTGGGCGTGTTACGAGACGAAAAGAGATTGTGATCTAGATGGAATCCGAGCGCGGACAAATGAGCTGCCGCTGCCACGATTCATTTGCGGATGGCCTGGAGTCGGGCTGGCATGAATGGCGTGGTCGCGGGGGTGTCCACCGGCTGGCAGTTGGCCACTGAGCCATGGAGCCCACAGCAGCGCTGCCTCTACCCGAGACCGCCAGCCGACAGGGGACGGTGCTATAAATAGGCAAACCACCGCGATGCTCACCTTGCTAGCACAGAAGCCGGAGGCGATGGGCGTGCATGCATGCGTACGTAACGGCTAGGCGAGAACGCAAAGGTCTCATCACAATAGAATGAGGGTGGAGAGCGCGGGAAAAGAACCTGGCCTGCGATCGATTGAGCGAGACGAGGGCCAAGAGCCGTGTGATAGACGAATGCGTGAACGAGCCGCATCCCATCCCAATCTCGGCTCCTCTCGCCAGGAGCTTGCCCTGCCCTACCCTGCGCTCCCCCAATCTCCAAGCCGTCCCCACCACCAGCACACCATCACCACCGAACCTGATCGGCGATAGCATAGATAGCTAACGCGAGTAGTTCATGGCTGGAACAATGAAGTGCCGAACAGCATGTGCCGGCTGTCGCTGCCCGCCCAGATGTCGTTGCTGATGTGTCCCGTGCGCTGCCCTGCATGCATGCACGGGCGGCGATGGGTACAAAAATAGCCAGCGCCTCGGACAATTCGAAACCGGGGTGAAACACTGCATATTGGGGAACCGTCTGGACGATTGCGATGCGTGGGATGTGTGATGTGCTGCCATGCCACGCGTGCGCTGAGGGCAAGGCAAGGCTGATGGATGGGGGCCGTACCCAAGGCCCTGGCTGGGGTGGGAGATCTCTGTTTAGCTCTGCCCAACGCATCCTAGTCCAACTTAACTGCAACTGCAACTCGGTGCACGGACGAGGGCAGCGGGCAATGGAACACGGCCAGTGACATGGATGTGCGTGCAGAGTCGTACCACTGGTCGCCACTAAGAACACCACCAAGCCCGCTGTCGTCTAGGGCAACTTTAGCTAACCAAGCCCTGCAAGCCAGCACCAGACGCCGGCAGAGGCCCCAGCGCAGCTCGCTATTGCGAAACATTGGAGGCAGCACACTCTATTATTCTGGGTCCGCGCTGCCCGTTCTACCAGCCTATCCCATTCGGTCGGGACATTGTATGCAGATGGACGCTTACCTAGCAGATACCGCGGCTCGCTGGTTGTCGACCGATGGGGACGATGCCGAATCGACTCGCCACAATCTGCAGCCCGGGATTGGACAGACGCCAAAAATAGGCCGCGATGCCAATTAATAGAGTGGCCAGCTAACGTCGGGGAATAAAGGCAAAAAACAACACCTGAGACGGCAGAGCAACAGTCTCAAATCATCGTCAGAAGCGCGAGATGGGTGGTTGTCATGCAATGGGAGCTAGTTTTGGCTGTTAGTCCCAAGTAACGTTGACTGTAACTTTGTTCGCGCGATGCTCCGACTGGCCAGACACGCGCCTCACCATCAGCCGTCGCCCGTTTACAGCCTAGACACCAGCTACCCACCTGGGAAGAATGTCCGGTTCATCCATCCTACGGGCGAGATGAGAGGCCCAAGCCACGTTTTCCCGTCGCTCATGCGTGCTCGGCCAGCAGCTGCACCCTGCGCTGATTGATTTCTCCTGCTGCTGCCGAGTTGCTGGGCCCCGTAGACCCTCCGTGGAGATTCCACCACCGTTTCCATGCAAGCAGATGCAACGCTGGGCGTGGGTGGGCTGGCTGGCGGCCCAATCTTGCACTGGATCAATCTTGGGAGAATCGACCAGCTGTGGGCCCTGTGACATTCCAGTCTATCCACAGCAATGCAGGCCAGGGGCCATGGTCCCATCTCATTCTTCTCCCGTGCCCGTGCCCCTGAGCCGGAAACCACCCCGCCAACTACGTCTTCAACGGGCGGATGCTGCGGTGCTTGAGCTTGCACCAGAGCTGGCCCTGGCCCTGGATGTGTAGCCCTACAACGCCGACCAGTCCGCACTACATACTCTATCTGCCAGCTGCTGCACTACCGTACCTCATGCCTAGTCGAGATAACCTAGGCGGGCTCTGCATGGAGACGGGGAGTGGGAGTGGGAGTGAGTGGGCAAGTGGGATGGCAGAAACACGCCGAAGCCCCTGTAGCTATCTCGAGCCAGCGCAACGTTGACCCCCAATTTGATGGATGTCAAGAAGAGATCGACTCTGTAGTGCGCTTTTAGCTCGCCTCCCCGCCCCCGGGAGAAGATTCCCAAGGCCATGGCCACTGTTCCATCGCGGGCGTCTGTTTTTCACGCTCCTCGCGTTGCATGTGCGACAGTATGACAAGGCGGCTCTTTTTTTATCTGCGATGTTGCCACAGACATCCATCGTCCCCCCCAGCACACACCCCCGGTAAGAATGGCCCCCGCCGACTTGAGTTCTTACCCCAACTCGCATAGCTCCCCATGCTCGTGCTGCTGCTGCATGCCTTTTGCCTTGCCGTGCCCTCCTGGCACTGTAGCTACCGTGCCTGAGGCATGTCAGGCAGTTGGGATTTCCGTGTCGGCCTTTGGCGATCCGGGTCCCTCTCTCGCGGGTCATGTTCACCCTGACCACCCACCCCCCTTCCCCTACCTATGTACCCTTCTGCATTGGACAAAAAAGACGCCCCATCCTATCCTGGATTAGACATCCCGGCACGTCATTGCCAGAGCTTCAGTCCAGCTTGATTCTTAGCTTGTGGAGATGGGTGTGGGATTGGGAAAAAAGACCAGGCGTGTGTCGTCTCTCCCACCCCGGCCCTGTGCTTTGGCCTCCATCTTGTTCTTGGCCCCCCATCCCCCTCCCCTCCTACTTCGCGCGTGTTTCTTCATGGCACGCCAACACCGTTCAACTAACGGCTGCTACGACCAAAGTACGATGGTCTGGGCTCTGGTAATGCCGAAAATCCCATACATGCGGCACGGGGCGTTGGGACCCCCCCCTCCCTACACTCCCATGCCGGATGGAGGATTCGAACGGGTGAAGTTTCTTCGATCCCTTATTCCCTGCAGTAGTATATATAATACCTGTCTTGTTTTTGCCCCATCCAGGCCAGTTTTATATATTAAAGAAGCACACAGCACCGACTACAATCTCTCGGATCTCTCCAACTATGGTAATACCCTGCGAGAAGCAGAGTTTCCAGAACATCACCCAGCATCACAAGACACAGCAGCAGCGAGTGTGCGTGTTTCAGTGACGCCCACTTGGACAATCTCGCAGCGTCCACAAGCACACGCATTGCATACACCCACACCCACATACAGACATACACAAGGACGAGATCATGTTTGGCACGTGGAAGTACGACCCCGAGACCGACGAGGTGCAGAACCTGCGTCAGGCCTTCGACCCCATCACAGCACGATCAAGCCAGCACCAGGCATGCAACCGCTGTCACGAGAAAAAGGTATGTCCATATATATGCATGTCATGTGTGTCACCTCGGCGGATATTGCTCTTTCAGTCTGCCTCCGTCGATGCCTCTGTCCTCCACCGTAGCATCGATGCTCAAGAAGAATCGAATTGCACCAAAGTACCCATCTCCATCCCAGCACAGTGCAAGCCATTGGCCCCTCGAACCCCCCTCTTTAACATTCTATCGATCTCGTCGCTGCAGAGAAACAACGGTACTGACATGTGACAGCTCAAATGCAGTGGGGAGAAGGACGGCTGTGAACGGTGTGCGGCCAACAAGCTCCAGTGCGAGTACACCCGGTCGAGCTCCAGAGGCTCCCGCCGGGGCAAGAAGAACCGCGTCAGATCTACCGAAGGTGCAGCAGCAGCAGCCAGGGAGGACTCCCC